GGAATATTTTTTCCTATAAGAGGCGTGGATTTTTTAAGGAATATTTTTTCCTATAAGAGGCGTGGATTTTTTAAGGAATATTTTTTCCTATAAGAGGCGTGGATTTTTTAAGGAATATTTTTTCCTATAAGAGGCGTGGATTTTTTAAGGAATATTTTTTCCTATAAGAGGCGTGGATTTTTTAAGGAATATTTTTTCCTATAAGAGGCGTGGATTTTTTAAGGAATATTTTTTCCTATAAGAGGCGTGGATTTTTTAAGGAATATTTTTTCAAGACTTATAAGAGGCGTGGATTTTTTAAAGGAGGCGTGGATTTTTTAAGGAATATTTTTTCCTATAAGAGGCGTGGAGTTTTTAAGGAAAATTTTTTCCTATAAGAGGCGTGGAGTTTTTAAGGAATATTTTTTCAAGGCTTATAAGAGGCGTGGATTTTAAAGGAAATTTTTTGCAATGCTTATAAGAGGCGTGAATTTTTAAGGAATATTTTTTCAAGGGGGGTTTCAAGAATATTTTGTAACGACTATAAGAGGCGCGTATTTTTGAAAGAATATTTGTTAAGTTCTTTTTAAGGACCTTTAGTTTCCCCTTAAGTTTTCCCATTTCGTACCACTGTGAAATTTAGTTCAGATCTAGGACGAATGAATTTCATGCAGGCAGCGTAACAAATTTTGCGGCATAATATATTGAAAACACGAACACACACACGCAAATACGATTCTATCTCAATATGTTACCTAGTTACCAAGTAGTAGCGATTGCTGTGATGTTGAGAAAAATTATAGTGGTGGTTGGTCGTTCGCTAGGGTCGCATAGCATCGCAAATTACGATAATCGTTTTTATTGATTGGAATTATTGCATTTGCCAGCTACTTATTGATGTTGTAGATTATTTTCTATGGCAACAATATCGTGTAATGTGTGGTAATCGTTACGCCATTTCCACAAATATTTTGCCACGCTTTTCCATCCCCCACCCTAGGCCTTCAATGGATTTCAGGTTAAAGTGGCATGTGATTTTTATGTGAATTGAAATGAATTTTGAGCATTTTTCGTTCATTACTTGCGTAAATGTGGTACACTTCTCATGGATAATTAGAAATTTTCCATATGAAAACTTTGCGTGTAATTAAAAAATATGTTACATTTCTTCCATTGCAGTTTGTTTAAATCGGAAGTGGGTGTTTGTGACTCCCGCTCTCCTCCATGTTTTAATTTTATGATAGGATTTCTGATTATTCATACAACTGCTGATTGTGCTGCATTTTTCTCCCACGGCTAAGGGTGATATCAGAATGCTAGAATATTTACCAATCAATATTTTCTTTTTATCTCTGTATCCGACTTTGTGGTTTTATTATTCGCAGTGGTTTTATTGCCTTGTAATATTTCTGAAGCCATTAAATTTGGGATTTGATGAAGCAATAAATTTATTTATGATTTATTAAGGCCTCGAGGCAAGGCATGTTTGTATATTTTGATGTATTAGCTTATTTTTATTCATAGCTTTATAGGCATTTGGAATAATGAAGGGAAGTTAATAAAATGTTTGCAATAAAAATGTGGAGAACAAGATACAAGTAAAACTTCATGCACAATCAGGAATTAAGGAAACAAATACATTTTTATAAATAAGTAAAAAAAAGTCGTTAAGATCGGGCAGGTTGAACTCTCTCCTCTACTCTCCACCGGGCAAAGATTTTTTAAGAATAATTTTGGTTAGAAGATGCGTGGATTTTTTAATGAATATTTTTGGAAAGGTTAGAAGAGGCGTGGATTTTTAAAAAAATATTTTTTCAAGGATCCCAAAAGGCGTGGATTAAAAAAAATATTTTTTCAATAATTCCAAAAGGCGTGAATTTAAAAAATATATATTTTTTTCAACGATTCCAAAAGGCGTAGATTTTTTAAAGAATATTTTGCAATATTTTTTTTTACAGGAAGTTGGGTCTTTCTTTTCTTTCTTTAGCTGGCTTGTGACAGAACATTTGTTTCATAAACAAAGCATAAAGAAAATTTCCAGGCGCGACGGTCTTGTGCGCAGCTTTTGTGGCATTTGTGCCTTTTGAGCTGGGCATCCTTATCCATTCTCACAACATGACCTAGCCAACGTAGTCGCTTCAGGTCAATGCGTCTAATAATGCCGATGTCCGAGAATTGATGGTACATGGTTCATTCGACGACGCTATTCACCGTCCAAGCAGATTGGTCCATAGATCTATCGGAGAATTTTTCTCTCAAACATCTCAAGAGCTGCCTCATCTACTTGCGCAAGTACTCATGCTTCAGATCCATATAACAGCATGGGTTGTATCAGCGTCATTCAGAGTTTGAGTTTGGGTGGCGGGAGGTGGCCTAGTTTTTCAATTGCTTACTTAGACCATAGTAGCATCTGTTGGACAACCTCCTTCTCCGAAACTCAAAACTGATGCCATTATTTTGTTTATGGCCGTACCGACGTATATAAAATCGTTCACTACCTCAAAGCTCTAGTTTTCAAGTTCCACAGTTGGTTCGAATACTCTGGCATTTTGCGCGTTGATAACAGTTTGGTCTTTTCGCCATTTTTTCAAAGGTGGCTATTAACGATCGCAATGTTCGACCCATTATATCGATGTCATCGGCGTAGGCGAGTAACTTGTGTTGTTTGGTGTACAGATTGCCATTTCTGTTCACCTTTGCGTCTCGTATGACCTTTTCCAGCAGGATGTTAAAAAAGGTCACACAACAAACTGTCACCTTGTCTGAATCCTCGTTCGCTATTAAAAGGCTCCGAGAGGTCCTTTCCGACTTTTACTGTTGATCTAGTTAAAGTTATGCTGCATAGCCGATTTAATTTTGCAGGAATGCAAAACGCAGACGTGACTTTAATCACCTCTGAGCGGATAGGGCTCTCGAATGTGGCTTTATAGTCGACGAATAGGTGGAATGTGTCGATGTGTTTTTCGTGGGCTTTTTCCAGGATTTGGCGCAAAGTGAAAATCTGGTCAGTGGTGGACTTGCCAGGTCTGAAGCCGCATTGGTATGTTTCAACAATGTCGTTGACCATTGGCTTCAGTCGTTCACACAGCACTCTGAATAGCACTGTATATGCCTTGGGAAGGAGATATATTCTCTATAGTTGACACATATCGCCTTGCCTCCTTTTTTGTGCACAGGACACATTCTTCTAGCCAAATTGTACTAATCAGCTGGTGTATGCTCCTAACCAGCATCGGACCACCAGTCTTGAATAGCTCGGCTGGTAACCCATTGGCTCCTGCTACTTTATTGTTCTTTAGCCGATTAATTGCTATTCTGACCTCATCTTGGTATACACTCTATACCGCCATCTCTTATTGGTTCTAGGATATCCTCTTCAGCGCTACTATTTGATACCAGAATTTTTTCAAAATGCTCCTTCCAGATCCTCAGCACGCTGTCTGTATCTGTTACCAGGTTTCCTTTCTCATCTCTACAGGAGGATGTGCCTGCACCACAGCATTCGGTTTTTACCCGTTGGTAGAATTTTAGGACTTCATTCTGACTCCTGTACATGTCGATTTGTTAATGCTCACGTTTTTCTTGTTCTTTCTTCTTTTTTCTGAAAATACGTTTCTCCTCCCTCTTTCGTGCTTTCGTCAAGCAGGTGGGTAAGTTGAGCGGAATAGGCTTCTGCTTTGGTAACTTTTGTTGTTTGTAGGGAGCTTCTTTACCATTGTGCTTCTATCTATATCGGGACAAGGGGAGCTTTCGTCAAGCAAATGGGTAATTTGAGAGGAGTAGGCTTCTGCACCTTTGTGTTTGCTACATTAAGACGAGTGTGAACCTTGGCTACCTTATAGCAGCTAAGGTTCGCACTCCGAATAGATATTCGTTCCACGGATCGATCGAACGCCTAAAACACTGGATGAATGCCTTCCGTCTATCACAACATGGCCAATTTGATTTCTCGTTGCTTGATCAGGAGAAATCCTGGTGGCCTTGTGTATGCCAAGATGCTTGAATCTGGTGCTGCTAACTACCATGTTTTTTTGCTGTCGCGAAGTCAATCAACCTCATGCCGTTGTCGGATGTTTCTTCATGGAGGCCTAATTTTCCGACGGTGGGGCCAAAAATATTTTCCCTTCCGATTTTTGCATTAAAATCTCCAATCAGAATTTTAATGTCATGACCGGGGCAACTAAAATCTCATCTTTGTCTTCCGTCGGAGCAGAATTTGTGGAAGAAATTCGCTTTTATGCGGATTATAATAATTCGCTCATAGACGAGGTCTTTTATTCTTCTGTTAACCATAAATCCGCAGCCAAATTCATGTCTCGTTTCATTGCACCTATAATGCAGGGCGTAACCATCTGATATACTTACGACAGTCCCGTTCAATCGCATTTCCTGTAAGGCAATAATATCGGCTTTGTACTTCTTGAGTACAACTTGTGCACATTCCAAGTACAGATTCGCAGATCGTGGTCCTTTATACATTTGCGGGGGTCAAAATTAGGGGGTTTGGTTTTCTTTTTCTTTGCTTTTTCATATTAGAAGAGGTTTTCCGAGTGGGGGCAACTAACCCGACGCCTCAACCCATTTTTTTATAGTTCTTATGGGTGAATTCGCGGCACATATCAGCTCACTATTTGAACGGGTGATGAAAATAGCTACCCAGGTGACACCGAGGGGAGGTCAGTGTCCACAATTGAGATGAAAGAGGGACCACGATACGCCATATTAGAGCCAATCAGATCCGTTGGTTGGTATATATCATCCCCTACGCCACCCACTTAGTGCGCATAGTCCCTAAAAAATATTTCGGTAGTTTAGTAGACCTTGAATTGCCCGCAATATTCATTATTATCCGTTCATCTCTGTCATCAAAGACCTTCACATTTGTCGGAATCTGGGGTTTTTTGGTCTTGGCTTCTTCCAGATGAAGTCCAACCAATGATTATTTATCAGTTTTGAACTTTTATTTAGCCCCAGATATATTAAGCGAACTAATTGTATATTTTTTTACTTCTCCTTTCTAGAAATGCTCGCCGTTGGCCCCTGATGATAGATCCGCAGGGTCAGGCCAATAAATGGATAAAGAATTTGGAAAAAAATAATAAACTTTGTGTTATACGACTTAATCAGCCTGACTATACGCGCGTCTTGGAAAATGCCATACAATTTGGTTTGCCGGTACTGCTGGAAAATATTGGCGAAGAATTGGATCCACTGCTCGAATCGATTTTACTCAAACAGCTGTTCAAGCAAGGCGGAGCATTGTGCATCAAATTGGGCGATTCGGTTATTGAGTATAATCACAATTTTAAGTGAGTTTCGAAAAATGGAACAGGATACGAATATGAAATGAGAGGGGTGTGGATGTGGTGTAAAGGATATAATGAGCCAAAGGCAGGAGACTAAGAATTCGATTCTTATATTGGGTTTTATTCATATACCCTGGCTCCGCACCCCAGATCAATTGTAGCTCACTTTATTTTCTCTGTTCTCAATACGTTCTTCTCTTTCAGATTCTATATGACAACAAAACTTCGCAATCCGCATTATTTACCCGAAGTGGCGGTCAAAGTCACTCTGCTGAATTTCATGATTACCACACAGGGTCTACAGGATCAATTGCTGGGCATTACTGTGGCACGTGAACGTCCCGATTTGGAGGCGGAAAAGAATACTCTCATTGTTCAGGGGGCGGAAAATAAACGAATGTTGAAAGAGACCGAAGATCAAATATTGGAAGTTCTATCATCGGCTGAGAATATTTTAGAAGATGAAACTGCTGTGCAGGTCCTTAGCTCAGCCAAAGCATTGGCCAATGATATTAACGAGAAACAGGTTATCACCGAAGCCACCGAGAAACAAATTGATACGGCACGTCTTAGTTATGTCCCCATTGCGGAACATTCGACAATTTTATTTTTTACGATTGGTAAGCATATATTTATTTTAAATTTTCACAGATTTTGGATGGATTTTTTAAGCAAATTCCTCTCAAGGACTGTCGAGCTATAGGTGAGAAATAAAAAAAATATTTTCTCTCAAGGCATATAAGTGCTCTAAGCGTCTAGTAGTTAAATAATATTTTCTCAAGTACTATCAGAGCTTCCTGCCGTAGAATTTTAAAAGCAATATTTTTCAAGATTTAAGCGTGGATTTGAAAGAAATATTTCCTAAAAGACTATCCGAGCCATAAGCTTCGATCTTGAATTGATATGTTCTAAAAGAGTATCGGAACTACAGGCGGTGATTTTCGGAAATATATATGGATTTTTATCTTCCCGCATAAGTAGACTGTCACTCAGTTTGCAAATTCCTCAAAATATTCGTCGGGGACTCCTCTCATGGTCGGAATAAATTTCCATGCCGATTTATCCATGTCCTTCCGTATGTCTGCTTGTCGAAATCTGGTTGGAGCTCCCAATATTTATGACAGAGCTTAGAAATTTTGTTCATACATTACGACTTCTCCTAGGATGTTTGGTATTAAAAAGGGATTATATCAGTCCAGATATTGGAGTAGCCCCCGTATAATGATACCGCATCAATATTCGGTATTTTTGGGAGCTTGGCTTTGTTTTCCAACCAAATTGGCTGTAATTCAATACTTTGGTCTCTCATGGAGTATCAAATCTTCCAACCAAATATTATCCATAATGGTCCATTATTTAGAGTTGCCCCATATAATGGCACCTCCAAAATTTTGACCACGAATTAGCTTCAATTTCGTATTTTGGCTACTCAATTGGTGTCAAATCTTACTAACAATTTGAATATCGTTAATATCCATATTTTGCTCCCAGTTACGCCCCCTTTCCAATATTTTGAAGGTTATCGCCGCATTATTCGGTATTTTGGAGAGTTTGAGTTCCGCTAAAAGTTATCTCCACGTAACGCTACCTCCAAAATGTCGGCATTTTTGTCATGTTTTCCAACCGAATTGCATGTAATTTTGAATCCGCATAGCATATTTCAATTACATAAGTTATCAATATTGACCGACGTTTCAGGGTAGACCCCGTATAACGTCACCCTCCTATTACTCGATATTTTGGGGACTTTTGCTACGTTTTTCAAATAAATTGGCTCTTATTTCATATGTTGGCTTCTCACTGGATGTCAAGTTTTTTTAACCGATAATTTGTCCTTCTCCCTGCCCAAATTTATCAATATTGATCCAATTTGCAGGGTAGATCCACAGGGTAGATAACATTACCCTCCTATTACTCGATATTTTTGGGACTTTGGTCACAATTTTTAAATCGAATCGGCTCTTACTTTATATTATGGCTTCCCACTGTGTGTCATTTTGTAGTCCTTGAAGAAATATTCTTTAAAAAATCGACGCCTCTGGTGTCCTTGACGAAATATTTTTTAAAAACTCCACGCCGTATATAGTCCTTGAAGTAATATTCTTTAAACAAATCCACCCACCTTTTGTAGTCTTTGAAAATATTCTTTAAAAATCCAGACTTTTTATAGTCCTGGATTTTTTACATCAACGGCTTTTGTAGTGAGAATATGTTGGTCCACTTGTCATTTATGCCCTCCGCATGTTGGTTGGGTACTATAAGCAAAGTTCGGCCGAATTATTACTTATTTTATATTCTTTATATATGTTTCTTTCCCTTTTGTCGAAAAAACTAATTGCCTCTGTATTTAATATTCCATCTACCAATATAATTGAAACTCTTCATTTTCATCTTCATCTACGAACATAAACCCCAAAACCAATATCCTGTTCTATTTCACAAAAGAGCTATTACCCCTTACCATTTACTTGATCTATTTTTGTTGTTGATTTTCATCTTCAAGCCAACCCCCCAATATCCCTATTTCACAAAAGAGTTGGAACCCAAGTGAGTTTTCAAGGATGTTACTGTAACGTCCTCAGTGGCTCAGTTGGTTGCTGGTTGTATGTCTGTATGTTGCACAGCTTTTGTTGTCTAAGTGTTTATAGTTTTTAATTTCCGCTTTATTGTGCTACTGATAGGTTAACAGCTTCCAGGCAATGGCTGACTATGGAGGCAGGAATATACGTCGAGAGAAACATTGTTGGAAAATGTTGAGAAAGTAGAAGATTTTCGTTCAGATATTTTACTTTTGTTTGTCTTGCACTAGAGAAAAAATCAGGTCTGTGGTGAACTGTGGATTATGGTCCTCAAAATTTCCATGCGTCTTTTAGTGCTTTAAAAATATTCTTTAAGAATTCCACGCCTTGGTCCTTAAAAATATTCTTTAATAAGTCCACGCCTTGGTCCTTAAAAAATATTCTTTAAGAAGTCCACGCCTTGGTCCTTAAAAAATATGCACGCCTTATGTTGGTCCTTGAAAATATTCTTTAAGAAATCCACGCCTTATGTTGGTCCTTGAAAATATTCTTTAAGAAATCCACGCCTTATGTTGGTCCTTGAAAATATTCTTTAAGAAATCCACGCCTTATGTTGGTCCTTGAAAATATTCTTTAAGAAATCCACGCCTTATGTTGGTCCTTGAAAATATTCTTTAAGAAATCCACGCCTTATGTTGGTCCTTGAAAATATTCTTTAAGAAATCCACGCCTTATGTTGGTCCTTGAAAATATTCTTTAAGAAATCCACGCCTTATGTTGGGCCTTGAAAAATATTCTTTAAGAAATCCACGCCCTACGTTGGTCCCTGAAAAAATATTCTTTAATAAATCCACGCCTCAGTTGGCCCTTGAAAAAATATTCTTTAATAAATCCACGCCACAGTTGGCCCTTGAAAAATATTCTTTAAGAAATCCACGCCACAGTTGGCCCTTGAAAAATATTCTTTAAGAAATCCACGCCCTATGTTGGTCCTTGAAAAATATTCTTTAAGCAATCCACGCCCGATGTTGGTCCTTGAAAAATATTCTTTAAGAAATCCACGCCCTATGTTGGTCCTTGAAAATATTCTTTAAGAAATCCACGCCTTATGTTGGTCCTTGAAAATATTCTTTAAGAAATCCACGCCTTATGTTGGTCCTTGAAAATATTCTTTAAGAAATCCACGCCTTATGTTGGTCCTTGAAAATATTCTTTAAGAAATCCACGCCTTATGTTGGTCCTTGAAAATATTCTTTAAGAAATCCACGCCTTTTATGGTCCCTGAAAAAATATTCTTTAAGAAATCCACGCCTCTTATGGTCCCTGAAAAAATATTCTTTAAAAAAATCCACGCCTTTTATAGTCCTGGAAAAAATATTCTTTAAAATGTCCACGCCTTTTACAGTCGTGGAAAAAATTCTTTAAAAAATCCACGCCTCTTTTGACAAAATATCTTCTCTAAAAAATCCATGACTTGTTTTAGTCCTGTGAAAAATATTCTCCTTCATTTACAAAAAAAAATTAATCTCACAGTTGTGAATGCGTGCTTCTGACACCATGTCAAGCCAGCAGGATAATATTTAAAGGTCCTGTCCTCAACTAAAATTGAAAAAAAGGAATATTTAAAGAATTTAATTTCCGTTATTTTAAATACAATCACATATCTGTCGGTACTTAGTGGAGTATATGTATGTAATTTAATCTATTTCTGTTATGTGCTATTGGAATTTAATCCTCTTTCCCACCGTCCCGCTTATCATCTGCTGTTAGTAATTCCAATTAAAATTCGTTACAATTTCACAATCATATCCGCCGCTTATCAGTAGTACGCACATATTGTGTGCGTGTGTGTGTGCTTGTGGCTTACAAATGAATGAATCGATGCATTTCGTAAAAATGTCTGCGGTTTTGGGATTGCATTTGAAATGTCCAGCACCCAATCAAGTGATAGCTCTCCACCCGGGGCCCCCTACCACCTTTGTACAACATTTTTCATTCTATAACCACGACATTCAAGTGTCATTTAGCATTTTAACAAATCCATTTCATTTGTCCAACTGTACCTCCGCTCCACTCCGTCCGTCAATCCAAATGCCATTTTACTTCGTATCATTGCATTTGGTGGCAGCGGATTTACTTGCTGGCACTTGGCTGGGGCCAACCATATGGTTCGTTGTGGACTCAGCCAGTCATCCCGCCACCCAGCCATCGTGTATAACATTATTATCATTCTAAATTAATACTCGAGAATGAAAAATCTCATTAATTTTCATTACAGTTGAATTGGCCAACATCGATCCGATGTATCAATACAGCTTAGCCTGGTTTGTGGGTTTGTACACGGCCTCCATTGATAATACGGAAAAAGTCGATGATATTGTGGAGCGTTTAAAGGATTTGCGGGCACATTTCACCTATAGCCTGTATGTGAACATTTGTCGGAGTTTGTTCGAGAGGGTAAGTGCGAAGTTTATATATTTTTATAAAAAATTACGATACGATTTCAGAAGATGCTTTAAAAATCGTAATATGCTTCATAATACTCCAAAAATATGCTTGAAAAAATCCACGCTTGTAGACCAGATTATTCTTCTTTAATATATACACGTTTGGATGCCAGCAGCCTTGAAAAAATCTTTAAAAGATTCCGCTTGGATGCCAGATAGTCATTGAAAAAAATTCTCTAAAAAATCCAAGTTTGGAGGTCAGATAGTTCTTAAAAAATCAAAGCTTGAAGACCAGATTGTTTTAGCAAAAAAATATATAAAAAATCCAAGCTTGGAGGTTAGATAGTCCTTGAAAAAATTCTATAAAAATTCACGATTGGAGGTCATATAGTCCTTGAAAAAAATCTTTAAAAAATCCACGCTTGGAGGTCAGATAGTCCTTGAGAAAAATATTTTAAAAATCCACACTTGGAGGTCAGATAGTCGTAGAAAAAAAATATTTAAAAAATCCACTCTTGGAGGTCAGATAGTCGTAGAAGAAAAATATTTAAAAAATCCACGCGTGGAGGTCAGATAGTCGTAGAAAAAAATTATTTAAAAAATCCACGCTTGGAGGTCAGATAGTCGTAGAAAAAAATTATTTAAAAAATCCACGCTTGGAGGTCAGATAGTCGTAGAAAAAAATTATTTAAAAAATCCACGCTTGGAGGTCAGATAGTCATAGAAAAAAAGTATTTAAAAAATCCACGCTTGGTGGTCAGATAGTCGTAGAAAAAAATTATTTAAACAATCCACGCTTGGAGGTCAGATAGTCGTAGAAAAAATTTATTTAAAAAATCCACGCTTGGAGGTCAGATAGTCCTTGAAAAAAATTCTATAAAAAATCCACACTCTATGACCAGATTCTCCTTGGAAAAAACTTTATTTAAAAAATCCACGCTTGGAGGTCAGATAGTCCTTGAAAAAAATTCTTTAAAAAATCCACGCCTGGAGGTCAGATATTCCTCCAAAGAATTTTGTTTTAAAAATCCACGCTTGAAGACCAGATTGTCTTTGAACAAATATTCTTAAAAATCTGTGCTTGGAGCCCAGATAGCCCCTTGAAAAATATCCTTTAAAAATACACTCTTGGAGTGCAAATAGTCCTTGAAAAAATATTTAAAATAAAATAATTTCAAAAATCCAGTTTGAACTTCAAAAATGTCTCTGAGTTCATTATATCTGCCAACGCCTGTACTTGTAGCTGTCATGTTAATATAAGTGTGTGTGTTTTTATTTTTTTCGATTTTATATCCCTGTCCACGTTCATTGGCTCAGTTGTGGCTAATTAAGTTAATTAACAACGGCACAAAAAAATATTCAAATTAATTTGAAAAGTTCACATAACCATTGCATGGCTGTCCGCTGTTCGGAATTGTAAATTGACATTATGTAAATCGGCTTGTGGGTATCTATAGTGACCATTTGTTGTTTTTTGTGTTATTTATGTTGCTCGTGACATTTGTCATTTTCATTTGTAACATAACTTAATTGCAAATGTGGAGAAAATTGTAATTGAACCACTATAAGAGCCATAGAAAGTTTCTAAATGAAAATTGAAGAAATTTTCATTAAAAATGTTCAATTAATAAGGGGAAAATAGATTTTCTACCCGACGACAATCCAAAAAAAAAAAAAAAAAAAAAAAACTTAAAGTCAATTTGGTTGAAAACCCTGACCAAACACTCTCTAAAGATCCGAAATTGAACAGCAGTGATAAGTGGAAAAAATATCCAAACCTGCTGAAAAAATATTCATTAAAAAAATCACACCTCTTATAGTCCTTTAAAAATATCCAAGCCTCCTAAAGTCTTTTAAGAAATTAACGTCTCTTATAGTCCTTTAAAAAATCCACGCCTCTTATATTCCTTTAAAAAGCCTCTTATAGTCTTTTAAAATTCCAAACCTCTTATAGTCCCTCTATATAGCCTTTAAAAGATCCAAACCTCTTATAGTCCCTCTATATAGCCTTTAAAAAATCCAAACCTCTTATAGTCCCTCTATTTAGCCTTTAAAAGATCCAAACCTCTTATAGTCCCTCTATATAGCCTTTAAATGATCCATACCTCTTATAGTCCCTTTTTTAAAAAATTCATGCCTTATTTAAGTCCTCTTGAAAAATATTCTTTAAAAAAATCCACGCCTTATTAATTCCTCTTGAAAGATATTCTTTAAAAAATCCACGCCTCATTTAAGTCCTCTACAAAAATATTCTTTAAGAATCTACGCCTTATTTAAGTCCTCTACAAAAATATTCTTTAAAAATCTACGCCTTATTTAAGTCCTCTTGAAAAATATTCTTTAAAAAATCCACGCCTTATTTTAGTCCTCTTGAAAAATATTCTTTAAAAAATCCCCGCCTCATGTTGGTCGTTGTAAAAAAATATTATTTAAAAAATCCACGCCTCTGATGGTCGTTGGAAAAGATATTCTTTAAAAAATCCACGCCTCTTATAGTCCTTGAGAAAATATTTTTGTAATAAACCTAGTCCTTCTCTTATAGTACGTTAAAAAGGTTACTCTATAATAAAATTATAAAGTAATTTTTTAAATTTTAAATATTTTTTAACTTTATTTATCCCTTCAACATTATTTAATTTGAAATATGAGTTTGTATGTGTTTTTTTAACGAAAGATATTCCATAATTTTTTTTCTCCGAACTACAATCGATTTACTGTGTGTTGGTTTTTTTTGTTGTTGTCATTCCATTCCAATTCCCTTAGTTTTTCCATTAAAAATTGCAACTTTCACTTACATGTCAGATGTGATGCTGGATGTTGTTGTTTTTGTTGTTGGTAGGGTTGCCTGGCTCTAGGATATTGCATAAAATTGAAATTATATGTATTTCACAGAATGAACCCAAAAAAAGTAGGAAAATAGTAAAATGCAATTTTCATCACTGTCAACTCAGTCAAGTGGAAAAATAAAAATTCCAAAGAATTCAATGTGCATTCAGTCGCACACACACACAAACACAGATACATGCAGATAGATATGAATATGTCTAAAATGGAGGTCGGAAAAAGGTAGTAATGCAAATAAGAAACGGCATGCATGTAAACATTTTTGAAATCAAATAAAAAAGGAAACCAATAAAAAGTGGCAAGGCGGAGCCAAACCAGGGTAACCTACGGTCCCCATCAGAATCCTAATGAATATCTGCAGCACATTATTCATTATGTTTAAATTTTAAAATTGATAAAATAGGAATTTTATTTTGCGAATTTGGTACTCAATTTGCCACTGCTCTCGTCTCTATCCCCTCCCTTTCTACACCATTCATAGCTGCTAAACATATTTAAAGTCTTAGATGCTCTGTAGAACTACCGAACCCCGAACACATTTAATGTCGACAAGGTGGTAAATACTGGAAAATTTATTTTCATCTTTTTGTTTTGTGTTGTATAACACAAACACATGAGTAAACACACATACATACATCTATCTTAGATGTATATATCGAAATACCTGTACTCCTGCAGAATACCAAACCATACCCGGATGGATGGACGAATATAAATTGCATCGGTTATACATCAGAGATCTGGTATGTGTTGTAAATAAAACAACAACAAAAATATGGTTGAACAGTGGTTTTGTATGAATAAAATAACCAAGACTTTGAGAGGCGTGAATTTTTAAAGATTACATTTTATAAAATATTATAAGAGGCATGGACTTTTAAAGAATAGTTTTTCAAGGCTTATAAGAGGCGTGGATTTTTAAAGAATAGTTTTTCAAGGCTTACCACAAGGCGTGGATTTTTAAAGAATAGTTTTTCAAGGCTTACCACAAGGCGTGGATTTTTAAAGAATAGTTTTTCAAGGCTTACCACAAGGCGTGGATTTTTAAAGAATAGTTTTTCAAGGCTTACCACAAGGCGTGGATTTTTAAAGAATAGTTTTTCAAGGCTTACCACAAGGCGTGGATTTTTAAAGAATAGTTTTTCAAGGCTTATAAGAGGCGTAGATTTTTAAAGAATATTTTTTAAGGCTTATAAGAGGCTTAAAGAATAAGGCTTATAAGAGGCGTGGATTTTTTAAAGAATAGTTTTTCAAGGCTTATAAGAGGCGTGGATTTTTTAAAGAATATTTTTCGAGGCTTATAAGAGGCGTAGACTTTTTAAAGAATATTTTTTCGAGGCTTATAAGAGGCGTAGACTTTTTAAAGAATATTTTCGAGGCTTATAAGAGGCGTAGACTTTTTAAAGAATATTTTCGAGGCTTATAAGAGGCGTAGACTTTTTAAAGAATATTTTTCGAGGCTTATAAAAGGCGTAGACTTTTTAAAGAATATTTTTCGAGGCTTATAAGAGGCGTAGATTTTTTAAAGAATATTTTTTGGAGGCTTATAAGAGGGGTAGACTTTTTAAAGAATATTTTTTGGTGTATAAAGATTTTTTAAAAAATATTTTTTGGAGGCTTATAGAGGGGTAGACTTTTTAAAGAATATTTTTTCGAGGCTTATAAGAGGCGTAGATTTTTTAAAGAATATTTTTTGGAGGCTTATAAGAGGGGTAGACTTTTTAAAGAATATTTTTTCGAGGCTTATAAGAGGCGTAGATTTTTTAAAGAATATTTTTTCGAGGCGTAGATTTTTTAAAGAATATGTTTTCGAGGCTTATAAGAGGCGTGTATTTTTACACCCTTCACCACACTGTGGTACAGGGTATTATGTCTTTGTACATATGTTTGTAACAGGCAAAAGGAAACGAGATAGACCCATAGTTCCTTTTGAGAATGTATGCATGTCCGTCCGCCTGTCCGTCCGTCTGTTGGTGTTAAATTGTAAACAAAGTACAGGTCGCATTTATAATCCGAATTGGATGAAATTTAGCACAGCTCATTTATTTGGGCCAAGGACGAACCCTATTGAAATTGGGAAAAATCGGTTCAGATTTAGATATAGCTCCCATATATATTTTCGTCCGATTTAATGTAAATGGTGCACCAAAGTTCGAATATATGTTT